GGAAGTAGGGAATGCTCTCTGATTGGCTGGTGGGCACCACAGTCCCACCTTCAAGGGAGTCCTTCCCAGCTGGCTGTGATGTCAACAGAGCTCAGCCAGTCATGGAGAAGCTGGCTCCAGCTGGGGTAGAAGTGGGTAATTCAAAGAATTTATGTCTATAAAATTATGTTTTGCAATGTATGGTATCTCATCTTCCTTTCGTGGCTTACCACAAACTGTCATCTTTTCCAGCTGGACTGAAATAAAATTACCTTGGTGGCTTCAACTTGGTGAGATTTCTTGATTTAAGAACATTGGGTTAGCTTCTTTATTTGGAGACACAAGCTTATTAATGTGTGGTCTGAACATTCTCCATACATCAACCATTTTTATCCTTTATTATTTTATTTAGAATTATTTTGTTTTGCATTTTTTCCTTTCCCTTTCTTTGTGTGGTGGGATTTATCATTTTCCTCATCTATTAGTCCATTAAATCCCCTCCTTTTTGCATTTCAACTATTTCCTTAAATATTGTTTCATAAGTTCACGATTATCTCTGAAAAGTGCTTCGAACTGCAGTCTTGCTTTCTGATTTGAAAAACGTTTTGAGTTCATCATGAAGCTCAAAAACATATTTTAAAACCTTTCCTCTCAACAACCATCTCACTTCATTGGGAAATAGGAGAGCATTATTTGGTGCATTCATCTCGTTGCACAATTACAAAAACGGTCAACTGTTTAAAGTGCTTGCCTTTGCAACATTGCTGCTTTTTATTACGTCTTGTAACTTTTGTGGCAATGTCTTTGTTGCTAATATTTGCCGGTGAATCATACAGTGAGTTCCAAAGACTTTTGGTGACTCATTTAGAACCAAATGTTGAAATCCAGATTGAGATCGTAGCATGCTGTAGCACTGCCTGTGCAAACACCACAAACCTTTTCCTAAGAGATCTGATGTTCTTTCAGAAATGAACCAACTGTGTCAAACACATCCCATGCAGTAATTGTCAAGAGGTTTTCAAAAAAGAAAGTAATCTTTAAAGTCACCATCAATGGGTTAAACTCCTGTGCCAGCAGGATTGCTGACCAACAGGTCAGCAGTTCAAATCTGGGGAGAGCATGTAGAGCTCTCACTGTCAGCTTCAGCTCCCCATGCGGGGCCATGAGAGAAGCCTCCCATAAGGATGGTAAAACATCAAAAACATCTGGTTGTCCCCTGGGCAACGTCCTTGCAGGCAGCCAATCCTCTCACACCAGAAGCAACTTGCAGTTTCTCAAGTCGCTCCGGACATTATATATAATGTATTGTTGAAGGCTTTCATTGCTGGAATCATTGGGTTGTTGTGGGTTTTACAGCCATGTTATAGGTTTTTCGGCTATATGGCCATGTTCTAGAAGCATTCTTTCCTGATGTTTTGCCTGCATCTATGGCAAGCATCCTCAGATGCCACAGATACAGGCGAAACGTCAGGAGAGAATGCTTCTAGAACATGGCCATATAGCCCGAAAAACCTACAATAACCCAAAAATAATATACCTCATGTAAATCGGTAACTGTGAACAGTTTGAAACATCTGTGGATTTATCAAGCTGGATACTAAATATTGGAAGTGGAGCAGATTTAATTTCCTGGATTGACTGATCAAGAATATCTGTGGACAGTGTCATTAGATAAGGGTATTGGACTCAATTTCTTAACAAATTTGCCTCCAATAATAATTCAAACAATGTTTTTGGTCACTGGTAAAAGTAACTCCTCAGCAATGGTGTGAGGTTTTATGGCTCTGGTGATTCTATGTGCCACCACGTTTGACGTTTCAGTGGCTGCTTCATTTTGTTTGTGGAACTTGCCACCGGTGTCAAATCTGGCTTTTAAAGTCCATCTGCTTTGATTCTAAAAAAAAATTGTATCCTTGCTGGCAAGGCTCGGATGCTTGGTGTCTAAATGACATTTCAGTTTGTTTGACTTCATTGATTCATCTGAGATAACTTCACAACAGATGACACATTGTGAGTTTTCAACTCCTGAAATTATGATTGAGGTAAATCCAAACTGCAAAAAAATCCTCTATATATGTTCTTTTCTTAACTACAGGATACTTCTCTGCAGGATCCATTGTCATGGGATGGTTTGCAAATGAAAAATCCAAAAACCAAATATGCCTCTCAAGCAACCAGAAACGTCATTGATGCTGCATCTACCAATCCCAACAATGGAATAGAACCAAACTTTTTCTCTTATTATTCTGAATGCCAACAACCATGGAATTGAACGAAACTTGGCATACAGAACTTCCATGACTAACCAAAAATACTGGAGAGGTTTGGGGAAAACATACCTTGATATTTGGGAGTTGCAGTTGCTTGGATGTATAATTTATCTGCCATCAAAGTGCATACTGAACTTCAACAACCATGGAATTGAACCAAACTGGGCATGCAGAACTCTCATGACCAACAGAAAATACTGGTGAGGTTTGGGAAAACAGGCCTTGACATTTGGGGATTGAATTTGCCTGGATGTATAATTCACCTGCCACCAAAGAGCATTCTGAAGTCCAACAACAATGGAATTGAACCAAACTTGGCATACAGAACTTCCATTGCCAACAGAAAATACAGCCTGTCTGAGTCCCTCTACAGAGGTAGAGAAGATCGGGATATAAAAGTTTTAAATAAATAAATACTGGAGAGGTTTGGGGGAAATAGATCCTGACATTTGGGAGTTGCTTGGATGTATAGTTCCCCTGCCATCAAAGAGCTCCAACAACAATGGAATTGAACCAGACTTGGCATACATTGTCAGATTTTTTTTAGAATCGATGGCAACATATAATGCAGTGTTGTTTTATGATTGCATGTCCTAACTGATTTTGTCATGAAAACTGGAAATGTTACTAAGAATGAGATTGTTTATGTCAATCATGAAGCTTTTCCATGTGAATAGAAACCTCAACTAGCCCAGTTTCTTGCATGGAGGAGCCCCATAAGTAGGAGGGTTTATATATGCAGGGTTCCATTACACAGAGGCCATACATAGAATTGTTGTCGAAGGCTTTCATGGCTGGAATCACTGGGTTGTTGTAGGTTTTTTTCGGGCTGTATGGCCATGGTCTAGAGGCATTCTCTCCTGACGTTTCGCCTGCATCTATGGCAAGCATCCTCAGAAGTAATGAGGTCTGTTGAAACTAGGAAAAAGGATTTATATATCTGTGGAATGACCAGGGTGAGACAAAGGACTCTTGTCTGCTGGAGCTAGGTGTGAGGTGGCCCAGTTGAGGTGGTTCAGTTCACCTTGGGGGAAGGGGGTGGGGTTCGCAGATTCTTTTTGAATGATCTGCCAAGGCTTTAATGGTGCTTCTTTTTTTGACTTGGGTGATGGTTGGAGTTTTTATGTAGATATCTATCTCTGTATGTGGGTTTTCTGTAAACGGTGTGACCCAATTGTTGATCTGGTTTGCGGATGACTAGGACATCCTTCATTTTCTTTTTTCCATGGTGAACTGGATGTTTGGGTGGATGCTGTTAAGATGGTCCAGGAAGCTGTTTAGTTCTTCTTCTCCATGGCTCCAAATGGTGAAAGTGTCATCAACATCGTGGGCGAACCATATCATGGGCTTTTTTGTGGCTGTTTCCAGGGCTTGTTTTTCAAAGTGTTCCATGTAGAAATTAGCTATGACCAGGCTGAGAGATTGGGCTAATCAAGGTGGTCAGTTGAAACATTCACGCCTAGCTCCAGCAGACAAGAGTCCTTTGTCTCACCCTGGTCATTCCACAGATATATAAACCCTTTCTCCTAGTTCCAACAGACCTCACTACCTCTGACATTTCGCTTGCCATAGATACAGGCGAAACGTCAGGAGAGAATGCCTCTAGACCATGGCCATATAGCCCGAAAAAATCTACAACAACCCAGTGATTCCAGCCATGAAAGCCTTCGACAACAATTCTATGAGCCAAGATCCTGCCATTGTTGCACTTGGCTTGGGGGTGCTCTGCCATCGAGCAGCCCGAGAAGGATGCTGAACATAAAGAAATCATTTGTGTGCTCTCCTTCATCTGAGAGCAACAGCTCCCGTACAATAGTGTTGTTTGGCCTATGACCTTTTCTTTGTCCAGCCCTAGTTTAGATATACTTTTTTTTGGTGAAACCAGTGGTAAATGTTTGGCTCAAACCTCCTGTTTATCTGCTTTCTTTATTAATTTTGTATTAGGCAGCATATTGTTTTGTTTGATATACATGTTTTGCTGATTTTTAAAAATATTTTTTATATTTTTATATATTTTATATTTTTATATTGTCATTTTTTATCTGAACTTTGCCAGAGAAAGCAGCAATAAAAGGCAGGTTTTCATCACTTTCACTTTTCCTCACTGCATATGTCTTCAAAATTGTTATTTTGGAGTAAATATCAAACTGGGCCCATCCTTATTTATTTATTTATTTATTTATTTATTTTTAACTTGTACTTTAATTGGCTTGTTTTAATACTTGTATACATTTGATTATATTTTAATATTTACCTTTCGTATATTTCTAAGTGAGCCCCCAGTAGTGCAGTGGGTTAAACCGCTGAGCTGCTAAACTTGCTGATCGAAAGGTTGGTGGTTCAAATTCGAGGAGCGGGGTGAGCTCCCACGGTTAGACCCAGCTTCTGCCAACCTAGCAGATCGAAAACATACAAATGTGGGTAGATCAATAGGTACAGCTCTGGCAGGAAGGTAATAGAGCTCCATGCAGTCATGCCGACCACATGACCTTGGAGGTGTCTATGGACAACGCCGGCTCTTTGGATTAGAAATGGAGATGAGCAGCACCCCCCAGAGTCAGACACACTGGACTTAATCTCAGGGGAAATCCTTTACCTATGTTTGTAAGTGTGAGCTGCTTTGGGTCTCAATACTGAGGGGAAAAGTGGGGTGAAGGTAAATATAATTTATTTATTTATTCATTCATTCGTGTACTGTATTTTCACCCCGCTATATTTCAACCCTGAAGGAGACTCAGAGTGGCTATTTCTTTTCCCATTGTTTAAACAAAAAACTATGTTAAGCTAAGGGAAGGGAAGGTCTTCATTCTTCATCAGATCCATTCAAAAGAGCAGTGTAGGTCTTTGCATCTGCTTGGTTGAACTTCTGAATTTCCATCTCCTCTATTCTTTTAACTCTCCTTCCATTCAGCATCCAAAGAACCCTACAGAAACCAAAACAGAGTATCACATGATCAAATAGAGACTCAACGGTTGTTGGGTACATTAATACCTTCTGCCATCTGCCCTTCATCCCAGGTGACATAGTTACTATGGCCAGGAGTATCTCATGCACTGGTGCTTTGACACTTCCATGGATATAACTCAAGATACTGCTCCATAAAGTCTTAAATCCTCCTTCACTCAATCAGTGTCCTTCAAATGCATGGGACTAAAACTCACATCATCCCTGGCCAACATCCTTTTCTCACCTGTTCCAAACGAACCCCGTTTTCATCATTTGCCACCTGGCTTACTATGAACATGGCTGCTTTCCAAGGGTGAAAGGACAGGCCTTTAGTTCCAAGGTCTTACAATCTGGAACGGTCTTTCAAAAGGTCAAACCACATTGAAAAGGGAAGGGAATGGCATCAGGGCAAATGTAGGATTCATCAAGAGGACTGTTTCAGCTTCTTTGTATTGGCCTCAACCATGGTGAAGAAGAGATGGTGTCTTCCTTTTAGAGGCTTGGAAGAGCCCTGGAAGAGCTCTTTCCATGATCTCTGGATTTTGGGACTTTGAGATTCCTTGAAAAGGGTCCATTACATACCAATAGACAATGCCATAGGTAGAGGCGAGGAATATCACGACACTCCCATAATGCCAAGTGTAGCATAAGGTCGTAAATATGTAGATCTCTGGGTCACTCTGGTCCCATCTGGAGGGTCCAAACAGCATGAATGCAATCTGGATGAAGGAGAGAATGAGGAGAAGCATCTTAATTTGTGCCTATTAAAACTGCCCCATCACTTCTCAATGGCTCAAGTGATGATCTACTTGTTGCCACTTGTATTGAGAAGGACTTGGGCATATTGGAGGTGTTTTTCATGGTGTGACTCATTGTCAGTCATGATACTTATCTTCATCTGAATGATAAGGACTGACCTGCCAAAACCAAGTTCCCTGGGTTATGAACACGGAATTCCTGAAGAGCTCCAGGACTGGGTTGTTTCTATGCCACACCTCTAACAAACTGCAAACAGCCCCGCTGCATACGGGAATTAACAGGATGCGGTGGCTGAATTTATCCAGAGCAGACATCCGGTTTGCATGGGCGTAGAAGAGGAGTGCTAGGAGAGACCCACAAAAGTACAACTCATTGACTGTTGAGTGGTTAAAAGTCGTCTGGGTTCTTTGTCATTCAGTTGGATGGAAAGTGAAGTTACTAATGCATTGAATGCAATATGATTGCAAGAAAGACTGAAAGTGAGCTAAGTGGCAAAGCAAGCCCTTGACATGCTAAAGGTCCCAGGTCTGTAAGAAAGTCTGTGAAACATCCCATTCTGAAAACTTAGAGAGTTTTCTCAGTCAATCCAGCAGAAGAGATTAAGTGAGGTGGACCAATGATCTGACTCCATTTAAGTCAACTTCTTTTGGTGCTATGTCTCAAATCACATACATTTCAGTACACAACATGGTTCCTTCCAATTTATTTCCAAATTAAAGAACCCACAAAACAAGCAAGGTCCAATATGTTCCTACGCTGGCCCTTGGCCAAGAGAATTCCATATGTAACTCACAGACCTTGGTCGGACTACTATTAATTGCAACTTGCTTAAGAACTGCTGATTCCAACAGTATTGAAGTATAGCAAGCATTCTCCGAAAAGGATTGCCGTAATTGCCTCTGTTACTGACTGTTTCAGTGATACCAAAACTTAGGTTTAGTGTCACCTGGATAAACATGCTGTCGTGTGCCTTCAGGGTACTTCTGATGTATGATGGCCCTGAGGCAAACCAAGCACAGGCAGAATGAGTTAGAAGTGGGCATGATCATCCATTGAGGCTGAGAGAGTGTGATCTGCCAAAGGTCACCCTATAAAGTTTCTGTGGCTGTGCAGGAATTTGACCACAGGTGTCCCAGTATCTTAGTCAACCCTCAAACCATTCTCTATGGGTTTTGTAACAGAGGCTTACATAATGAGTCCTTGATGGAGTACTTCCTCATTCTTTTGCCCACTGCTGGAGATTTTTATTGCGTCGTAAATTAGTTAAATTAGCCTCCCCACGTAAGCGGTACCTAAATTTCCTACTTGACAGATGCAACTGTCTTTCGGGCTACAAAGGTCGACAACAAACTAGACAAACGGTCAGGAGCTTACTCTGACCTGGGCTGGGTTTGCACTCATGACCTTTCGGTCAGTGGTGATTTCATGCAGCTGACTCATAGCCAACTGTGCCACATCCTGGTCCATATATGAAATGCAACAACCAGGTTAGGTAGACCTTGCACAAGTGAGCACAAATATTCTGTACCTTCTAGAGAACACTAGATGCCTTCTTCCAAAACCCAGCAAGGCGAGTTCTGTCTTTCTACGAAATGCACACTTACCTTCAGTGAAAAGAGCCAGAGAGAACATTAAGTAATCCAGTCCCAGGGGGATATGGAACTTGCATCGAGTGAGGAAGCCCACCACTCCGGCCATGGAAAAGGCGGTTAATATTGTCCCATGTTGCCAAACATTAAGGGCCACAAACTCGTGGGTGGTTTCATTGTAAATACGGAAGTGGGGACCCCCAGGCACATAGTGCTCCAGTAAAGCACCTACGGATCAAGCACAACAGAACATGGGTGCAAACTTAGATCTAGTGGGGAAACACGAATTGTCATGCAAGCCCCCACCCAGAGGCGGCCCTAGGTAATTTTCAACGGTAAGCAAACAGTATTTTGGCGCCCCCCCAACCAATCATTGATATATATTTTCTGTTCGTCGTGGGAGTTCTGTGTGCCATATTTGGTTCAATTCCATCATTGGTGGAGTTCAGAATGCTCTTTGATTGTAGGTGAACTATACATCCCAGTAACTACACTTGCCACACTTGCTCCCTTGCCTGGCCCGCTTTGGGTCCGGAGGCATGCCTGAAGACCCCGGGCATGTGCACCAAAAGTCACCTCTTCTCCTGACTTTCTCCTCAGCCATTGGGACCAAGAGAGAGAGAGAGAGAGAGAGAGGTGGAGATGCCCACCTTTCCTGAAGGTAGGCGCAAAAACAAAGGAGGGAGCGGAGGTGGGAGATACCTCCAGTCAGAGGGGCTTTCTCTCTCTCTCTCTCTGCCCCAATGGCTGAAGAGAAAGTCGGGAGAAGAGGTGACTTTTGGTGCACATGCTGGGGTCTTCAGACACGCCTCCAGACCCGAAGCGGGGCAGGCGCGGCGGCTCCGCCCCTTGGCCCACCTGCGGATTGGGGAGAGGAGAGGAGGTGGGTGGAGCGCCGGGGGATCGGGAAAGGGAGCCGGTCATGGGGAAGGGATCAAACGCGGAGAACGATTGAGCGCCGGCTCTGCTCACGCACCCGGTGGCCGGGTGGAGCAGGAATGAGAGGGGCTAGGCGAGGCTCAAGGGCCCGGCCCCTTTGGGAAGAGGATCGCCCGGCAGTGAGGCAAGAAAGCCGAGGCTCCCCCCAGACTGCTAGGGCTGTTGTGAGCTGAGGGGGCGCCCCTCAAGTGGTGGTCGAGGGGCATTTACAGAGGCGCCTCTGCGCCCCTAGCAAAAAAAAAAAGTATTCTGCGACTGCTTATTTCGCGTAATGGACGAGCCGCCCCTGCCCCCACCAGTATGCGAATAGGCAAAACTAGAGAATGCTCCTTCTTGGGCACTGCCCAGCACTCTGGAACTCCCTCCCTGAAGAACTAAGAGAGTTTGGGAACTCTAATGTTCTAGATGTGAGGGGAAGGAGGCTATGGTTTTATCAGACATTTTGGATTTTATCAATTGATGTTTTATTATGGTTTTATCTTTTTATGTATTCCTGATTGAAGGATTTTATTGAGAGGTGATATACTGTGATTGTAAGCTGCCTTGAGTCTGTGTCGCAGAGAAAGGTGGGGCAGAAATATCCTAAATAAATATGTTAGCATTGTTAAAGGAAAAGTTCACTAAACTTTGGATTTGATCAAAAGTTCTTAGTCTAAAACTGAACTGTGCTCCAATTCAGAGTGGCACTTTCCTTTTGCTCACCCAGTAAGGCAGTGGCTCTGAAACCTTCCTAATGCCACAACCCCTTAATACAGTTCCTCGTGTTGTGGTGACCCACAACCATAACATTATTTCCGGTGCAACTTCATAACTGTAATTTTGCTACTGTTATGAATCGTCATGTAAATATCTGATATGCAGGATTTATTTTCATTCACTGGATCAAATTTGACACAAGTACCCAATACTTCCCAAATTTGAACACTGGTGGGGTTGGGGGGGGGGGGGGGTTGATTTTGTTATTTGGGAGTTGTAGTTGCTGGGATTTATAGTTCACCTACAATCAAAGAGTATTCTGAACTCCACCAGTGATGGAATTGAATCAATCTTGGCACACAGAACTCCCATGACCAACTGAAAATACCTTGAGTTTTGAAGTTGTAGTTCACCCACATCCAGACAGCACTGTGGACTCAAACAATGATGAATATGGACCAAACTTGGCACGAATCCTCAATATGCCCAAATGTGAACACTGGTGGAGTTCGGGGGGAAATAGATCTTGACATTTGGGAGTTGTAATCGCTGGAATTTATAGTTCACCTGCCATCAAAGGGCATTCTGAACTGCACCAATTATAGAATTGGACCAAGCTTCCCATGAACCCCCATGACTAACAGAAAATACTGTGTTTTCTGATGGACTTTGGAAACCCCTCTAAAACTCCCTTGCGGCCCTCCAGGAGTCCTAACCTTTAGGTTGAGAAACACCACAATAAGGCGACTATATCTTCTTGGCTTGCAAAGTTCGATTGGATAAAAAAAATCATAAGGTGTTTGAGCTAATTAATAAGGGGGTATGGCAAAGGGTTGCAACAATAACATAGGAAGGAGGGGAGGGTGACATAGGAAGGAAGAGAACTGTGCTTTGGTCTAAGCGGGAGGTTTCTATTAGGTTTGGAGGTTGTAGCAGGGTCAGCTGCTGTCCTCTCCTCTCCTTTTTGCCTTGTTTTTTATTCATGTTGTATTTTGAAATGGTCATATGGCTGGTCAAATAAATAAATAAATATTAGAAGGTCTGACATAAAAACAAGCCTCTTAGAAAACGAAATCAACTTTCTTTCCCCTGCAAATCTGTGTAGCACTGATGCTACACAAAGACAACACCTGCATGTCACATTTACCTAGGAAGCCGACGCCGCCAATGAATCCCCATTCCAGAAGTTCAAACCAATCAAGGAGCTTTTCAATCTGTAGAGAATACTTTGATTTCCAGCCAAGGAACCTCAAGGGGTGTTTGATGGCCCATGAAAATCCAAGTAGCAGGATGGCTAATCCCGGCATTGTATGTCCTAGGAAATAACCCATTACTGAGGTATGGGAATGGTTAAATACCTAGACGGAAGAAGAAACAAAGATTAAAGCAGTGGTTCCAAACTGGGGAGGGCAAACTCTTTCCAATGGTTCAAGAAGAATCGCAATGCAGTAATTATGGAGCCTTGAAACACTCCTCGTCAGACCAGATTTGAGAGGAAGTAGGAAGGTGTTAAGGTTATTGGTTACAACAATTGATAATATGAACCAGCTAGGACATTAAGATCATCTGGGGAGGCCCTGCTCTCGGTCCCGCCTGCATCACAAGTATGTCTGGTGGGGACGAGAGAAAGGGCCTTCTCAGTGGTGGCCCCTCGGCTGTGAAACAACCTTTCTACAGAAATTAGATCGGCCCCCTCCCTATTAGCATTTCGGAGGAAAGTGAAGACCTGGTTATACAAGCAGGCATTTGAATAGGCAGTATATTGTGTCAGGAACCGGTTTCCAGGCCTTGAGTCTTGGCGCAAAAAACCAGAATCCTGACATGGAATGCTGATAAAAATGTGCAGCTGGTGGCCTTGGGGGGAAGCAGTTGGCATTTGGTGGGGAATATTGCGCGGGATTCTCGGCCGGCGGGAAAGGGGAATTCAATTGTAAGGGAGGGTATATAAGGGTTAAACTGCGACTGCCGGCCAATCCTGGCTTTCTTCGTGTATGAATGTCCAGCAGTAAAAGTTCCTGATTGATTACGGATTGGCATCCTGTGCCGTTATTGGGAGCAGCTGCTGTGAGCTTACAATATTGAATATAGGAATATGGAACAACTGATCTTGATTCTACCTATGAGACGCTTTGAGATGTTATAGTTATGTTTCATTGATTGTTTATTATGTCATTGTTTTAATTGTTTTTGAACTGTTTTTATGATGTTGAGCATTGAATTTTGCTATTGTTAACCGCTTTGAGTCGCCCAAGGGCTGAGAAAAGCGGTATATAAATGAAGTAAATAAATAAATAAATAAATAAATAATAAGTACAGATTGTAAAAAGAACATCAAAAAGTCTCTATGTATCTCCCAGTTATTGCTGCAATGGTCAGTAAAACTAGGTATTGTCTCATCCTTTTCTCCTGACATGAAGTCCAGACATGTCCGACTCTGGGGTATGGTGCTCATCTCTATTTCTAAGCCAAAGAGCCAGCGTTGTCCATAGTCACCTTCAAGCTCATGTGGCTGGCATGACTGCTTCCTGCTGGAGCGGTACCTATTGATCTACTTACATTTGCATGTTTTCAAAGTGCTAGGTTGGCAGAAGCTGGGGATAACAGTGGGAGCTTACCTCGCTCCCGGGATTGGAAGCTACAACCTTTCGGTTAGCAAATTCAGCAGCTCAACAATTTAACCCACTGCGCCACAATTGTACGTGGGTTTTTTTTCCTTTTGAAGTTTAATTTAACTGGATGGCTTTTGGACCAAATGAAGTACACAGCTCAATCCTAGAAATACAATTTAATAAGATACGACATTTCTATGTTACCTTTGCAGAAAACTTTGTTTCCCCTGAATAGGATTTCAGTCACTTTGTTTATGCTTTCCAAATGAAGACACGGGTTGTTTTAACCATTCAAGTATTTAGGTTATATCACTCTCACTAAAAAGCCTGGCGGGATAGGCAATTAAGTATCCCACGAAAAATACAAGCACTGAAAATGTGCATAATTCCCATATTACTTTATCTTTTCCAAACCCTATAAATAAAAATAGAAAATAAACAATTAAAAGAATGGGATAACTCTTTGAGAGAATGGATATATGGGAAAAAGAGAAACAGAATAATGAAAAAGATTCAATATACCCCAAGGAGATTTCTTGGATGGGGGTTTCCAAATCTACAGTATTACTATGAGGCTTTCCGATTAAAATCATTACTAGAAATAAGTTAATGGGAGAAGATAAATGGATAAAAGTAGAGAATGAAATAAATGTAGGTTGGGGAAAATACGGCTTATACACCAGAGATATTAAAAAAATAAAAGAAAAACTAACATGACTGAGAAAGGTAGCATACAATTGTTGGCAAAAATGGCAAAAACTATGGGCATATAAAATATCAGGAAAGACTCCAATTAAGAGTATGGGACTCCCTAAAAGATTAGCATATAACTTAGAAGAAAAGGGATTAAGGAGGGTAAAATAATATGATATTATAATTA